CCCTTGCAGTCTCCAGTCACCCAGAAGGCAGAAGCTGGATCTAATGCTATGAGCCCCTTCTGTAGCCCAGAATTGGGACAAATTGAAGATGCTTAAATTTGTTTGAATGAATATAAGAACACTGTAGAGTTGATAAAACTCAACTCCAACCGCAGAGTTAGTAAGTCACAAGTTTTGGGGGTGCTGCATGTTTGAGAGCTACCCACATCTTACATTGTGCCAAGCATGAACTCACCTTCAAGAAGGCTTTAGCGAACTCTTGCCTGTGAATCTTACACCCCAAGGGGAGAAGGCTCCTGATGGATGCCCACCTGCAAAGCTTGAACCCAAGTATGTTTCAAACTTTTATCCTGATAGATTCATAATTTCTGTAGCATGTGTGCCAGGCTTTGTGTACTGCAAAGTCATGCAGTTCCTAGGCTTTGTTTTACTTTTCTGCCTCAGTTCCAGTTCGAGAGGAATGTAGGAGTAGGACTGTCAGGTGTTACTCAGCCTAGACAGATCTGCAAGCTGCACACAGTATTTCCAGGCCGTCCTCCCAGTTCATGTCTCCAGAGGGCAGACAAAAACTTGCTATGAAGGGAGGGTGTAACAAGGAACCCTCATGTGGCAAAGACTACTCAGGCCTCTCTCCCTGTGTGAGCTAAACATCCTTCAGATGCCCATTTTGTTGTTGTTGTTGTTTTTAAGATTTTATTTATTGGGCCCTCCCTGGTGGCGCAGCGGGTTAAAGCACAGCACTAAGAAGCTTAAGCCACTTTCCGCATGAGTTCGATCCCGCCTGCCCCGAGGAGATCCACATGGCACGGCAGACCTCTCCTGACCCGCCCGCTGCTCCTCTCAGCAGTGTACTTGTAGATCTGCCTGTTCTGCTCCCCACTCTGTCCCTGGTGAATCCTCTCACCCTCCGCATCTCTGGCCTGTACCCCAGTTCAGATTTTATTTATTTACATATACAGAAATGGGGTACAGGCCAGGGGCGATGAGAGAATTCACTAGAGACAGAGTGGGGAGCAGAACAGTCGATCGACAAAGTACAATGCTAAGGGGAGCAGCAGGTGAGACAGGAGAGGTCTGCTGCCCATGTTGGTCACCTTGGGAGTGGGGATCAAACTCACTCATGAAGCAGCCACAGCTTGCTTTAGTTTCACAGTGTAGAGCTCCGACCCACTGTGCCACCATGGAGGGTCCCAGAAGACCGTTTGTGCAGGAAACAATAGAGGCACTGAGAGGATGTATAACTTGCCCAGATGTCTTATGGCCCTGGTTTTCAGACACTACACTTTCTCCCTATGTGGCTAACACTAGGTGCAGACCCACCATAAAAACAAAATACTCAATAGTTCCTGCAGCACCTGTCAGGAATAGATCCTCCTACTGGATCTGTAGCCCCAGCTTGCTCCTGGGACTTTTGACTTAAGGCTCCATGAAGGGCAGTGAGAATGGGACCCAAGAAGTGCTGGGACACAGGGCAGAGTTCCATGTTCAAAGCTATTATTTTCATTGCTGTGTTGTTTATTCTTGTTGGAAAGTGTTGAGGCAGGAATGGTAGATCAGTCTAGTTGGTGGATGGAGAAGCGCTGACCTAGGAATGACTAGGGGTGATTATCAGCAAATAAAGAAACAGAACTTTTCTGGAAAGAGCCATGTGGCCTGTGTTCTAGGGTACTCTGGTCACAAGGTCTCTGTGGGATCATGAAAGCCCTTATGCACACCAGGTAACAAGGGTCCAACTAGGCTCCATGGAAAATGCATGTATCTGCAGTGTGGCTTGATCCATCTGGGAGCTGCAGCACCCAAAGCCTACATTGGACCACTTGCTAGATGGTCGACGCCATGAGTCAAGCAGGCTTGGTTGACAGGAAGAGGCATTTCGTGCTGCCCAGCCCATTTCTATATCACCTCTTAGTTAAGGAGGACTCAGCCCCTTCTATTGGCACCTCTGATGGGTGGGGGTGCTGCCTTACACAGGAACTCCCAAAGTAAAACAACCAGCAGGTCACAGCTGGGAATGTCTCCCGCAGGCAGCAAGGTCAGGCCCCAAGTGCAGACTCTCCAAGGCAAGCCAGACTTCAGAAGTGAATTCTTACCCAGAGATGCCTTTGACCTTCCCAGCCCCACTTTCCTGCCTGGAAATTTGTAGTCATAATAGAAATGCATCTAAGACCACAGACTTTCTGTTTTGCTTTGTGTGTTTGTTTATTTTTTCTTTTCTGTCTCCCAGGATTTGCCTGGGAACATTTTAAATGAACCTTTCAATAAGAGCTCCTGGTTGACACAAAGGTGCAGCGGCCCAAACTTTGTCAGTGTTTACAGGGAAGCCCTCCCAGGCTCACCTATAATTAGAAGCCAGTTAAATTAGAAACCCTTAGTATTGTTCTTGGAAGGCTTCCAGGTCCGCAACTCTCCCTGGGGGAGCCTCTGGCCCTGTCTAACAGCTAAGTGGATACCCATCCTCTCCTCCCCAGCTTCCTGCAGCCAAGGCCCAACTGGTCTCAAGAGAGCTGGTTCCTAAGCTCCTGTTCTGGTCCTGTTTGCACCTTGCCCTTCCCATCTGGCAGGCAGCAGGATGCCGCCCCCACCTCCCCACTCTGCTTGCCCCAGCTTGCTCCATTGCTAGAAGGAAAACACCCAGGAGTTCACTGCTGGGGTGGCTGGCTGCTTTCATCTTGCCTTAGTCCATTTAGTGTTGTTCAAACATAAATGTGGTCCTGAATTGCAAGTAATGTGCTAGAAAAAGGGAAAAGGCAGCTCTCTTCAAGCGATTCTCAAAACCTGACCATCCCCCAAGTTCACCTGATGTTACTGTGGGCGAGGGACCCTTCTGGGTAATTGCACCAACGGGGAAAGTTGTGGAAGGATCCAGATCCTGAGGCCCTGTCCCTTTCCCTGTTGTTTCCATAACATGCTATCCCGTGAAAACACCCCAGACACGTCCCCCCCACCCCCGCCTGCAAGCAATCAGAAACAAACCTCTTCTCAAAGAAGAATGTCTTTTTCCTGATCACAAAATTTATATGTAATATTCTAAAACATTCACATACTTGCTCCCCATAATCCTCCTCACTGCCTAGTCACCCACCTTTCACTTCCTGCCAAAAGAATCTTTGTTGAAATTTTTGCAGCTCTCACTTGAAATCTGTTTCTATGCATACGAAGTCCCCCCTGATCCTTGGGGAATACGTCCCGAGACCCCCCGTGGATCCCTGTGAATAGTGCCAAACCCTTTATATATGATGATATGTACCAATCTATGTTAAATTTTAATCTGTAATAATGAAATGAACAATGATGCACTAGAATAGAAGGTATATGGACATTGTCTCTCACCATGGATGGCCATGCATAGGAAATGAAACCATCAGAAGAGAAGCTGCAGATGACAGCTCGGAGGCTATGGACAGAAACATTTACCGACACAGACCCCAGCCCTCTTCTGTGTGGTTTCTTTTGCAGAACACCTGCAATGTTCCACAGGACTGACATTCCATTCGGTTGTTTTGTTCCCTGCAACCGTAAACAAGCACATTATCTTAAGTCTCTGCCTAGCCTGTCCTTGTGGGACCAGTGGCTGGTGGCCACTCTGTGGCAGGTGAGCAGAAGTGGCAGGGCAGTAGACTTGATGCTCTGTTGTCCTTCAGTTGCTTCTCACTGTACATTTATGTTTGGGGAACTTCTCCTAAATAAGCTTCTCCCCAGAAGTCCTAGAGGCATTAGGATAGACTCATCTGGATACTTGAAGTTTCTTTCTCTGTACACACCAGGCCCACTCCCCTCACTGGCTAGCCCTTTTAGTCCTTTCCAACCTTGGCTTAGCTGGTATTCTTCCTTCTGACCTTTAACTTATTAATTTTCAATAAATAATCTTTTTCTCCCTAATGCCTTCAGAAGAGTCTATGGTAGTGGCAAAGCTCAGGACTTTTTTCCAAAAGAAAAATCCCCAAATTTCCTACCCCTTGGTATCTCCATTTGGACCCTATGCAGCCTGCATTCATGGTGTCAGGAATTATTGGCTTTCATGCCCTACAATGATTCACCCAGAACAAGAGGACTCAGAAAGTGAAAGGTCTCAGGGGGCTTTCCAATGACTTCTAGACTAAGTGTGGTTAAGTCTGGAAATTTCCTCACACAACCCAGTCATTCAAAGAGGATGGGCTGTTTTGTCACAATTTCACCCCCAGCATCAAAGCAAGAAAACAGTGACAGAGAAGGTGATGATTAATGCATTTAGATGACCACGTGAGTGCACCATTTGTATAACTGAAGTCCCAGGCAAGATTGCCTTGAGATGGAAACACAGGTCTCCCCATTCTAAAAATTGAAAAGCAGAAAAATCACACTGTTTCCTTCAGAATAGTGTGTTAACTTAGCAATTGGTAAAAAGCAGCTGGGCTGTACCCATCCTCTGTTGTTAAGTTGCTGTGTGTCTTGTCCTTGGGCAAGTCAGTAAGCCCTTTGGGCTTCTGTTGTCTCCAAGTAGCTGGACACATGCAGTCTCTAGTCACTTTGGTACAGAAGGACCCATCCTTATCAGAAAGGGAGTGCCTACAGGGCGGGCTGGGAGCTGCAGTAGGGTGAGAGGGGGATGGGCATGGCTCTGGTTGTTGAACTATCTCCGGGAGTCTCCTTGATTCAGAAGAGCAGGACTCTCTGGAGCCCCAGGTTCTCCAAGCTCTCTGGCCATCATCCCCCACTCTAACAATAGGCCCTCCAAGGGTTCCAGTCCCTCGCGCTGAGCCTCTGCCCATGGACAGGTGGGGAAGTCAGTCCCAGTAGCCCGGTGCTCAACTTACAATCTGTCCTGTCTTTCCAGGTACACTGACCCCTGTCCTGTTTTCTTGGGGTGAAGAGGAGAGGTAGATGGGAGGGAGGGTAGAGTCACACTGGGACTGAATGCAGACCACTGGCTGAAGGGAACTGAGCTGTGCTCAGTCAGACGTGGCCGCAAGCCCTTGTTATCACTGGTGTTGATGAAGTGTGTCTTTCAGGAGCAGCCTAGAGAGAGGATGGCTTACATGGGAGGAAAGCAGACGCCCTGGCTCCCCATGCTAGTGGTAAGTGGGGTAGAACCCGAGCCCACACTGTCCTGACCCCAAAAGCACCTCGGTAGTGGTTTCAGGAAGAGCTTGGTCCAGACTGTGTTCAACAGTTATACAGCTTCGAGCAGCTCCCTTGACTTCACAAACCTCAGTCTCCACAGATGTGAGGTGAGAATAGGGGTCCTAGCACCTCCCACACTATTTCTTCTGAGGGTGAAACAATGCCAACAAAACACTGAATAGCATCCTCAGCCTCATACTAGACTTCTTTTTGTAGTAGTTCCCTTGACAGGGTGTCAAGGACAGAAATATCCTCACATGCTTATTTGAGTGTGTGAAATTCACAGCCCAACACCTGCAAGTGTACAAGTGGCAAGTACAGTGTGTCGGACAGATGACAAAGACCCAGGATTCCCTCTTGAGATGAAGAGGACCAGGAGTGACTAAGAGACTGAGGGAGACCTCCTGTGCAGGGCCTGGGGGTGGGGCCTGTCACTGTAAAAAGCAAAAGGGAGTTTTCACGAGTGAGGGGCAGGCAAAGAAGGGAAGCAACAGTCAGGAAGCGGCCAGCTTCTGGGAAGTGGGGTGCTCACCCAGCATATTCACTGACGTTATGGTACTGACTGATTAAGCAGGGCCCCCATCACTACGCTCCCCAGGAATCTCGGAGCACTGATCCCAAAGCAGTGTGTGTCTCCAAGGAGGTGTAGAGGCGATAGCCAAAGTGATTTCTCCCCTGCGGCAGGTGTCCCTGATGTGCTCGGCGGGAGCGGAATACTCCAGCTGTGGTGAGAACGAGTACTACAACCAGACCACTGGGCTGTGCCACGAGTGTCCCCCGTGTGGGCCGGGCGAGGAGCCCTACCTGGTAAGGCCTGTCCAGCCACAGCCCCAACCTGGTGCTGGTCCCCGAGGCCCTCACCCAGCAGGGCTGCTTTCCCTGTGGCCTGGGCTAGATTAGCAGGCTGACTTCACACCTCAGGATTGGGTATTTAGAGCTGCTATTAGCACAGGACTGTGCTTACCTGGTGAGAGAGATGGCAGCACTTATAAGATTTCTCTGGAATTGTTCTGCATCTGTTTAAATTATAGGCAACCTCAGAGGTAGGTTAGGTTTGGTTCCAAACTAGCACAATAAAGTGAGAATCACCATAGGGAATTCCTACTACATTTGAGAGTTATGTTTATCCTACACTATAGTCTATGAAGTATGCAATAGCATTACATTATCTTAAAAAAAAAAAAAAAGCCTTAAGTGTGACATAGAGACACAGAGTGAGGGTAATGGCACCAGTACACTTGCTGCACACAAGATTGCAATAAAGCAAAGCACAATAAAGCAAGGGGTGCCTGTACTTTCCTATTCTACTTAATTAGGTAAGTTTCAGGTCGTCTGAACTGATAATGAATCAGTAGATGCATAGTTATTCCTGAGTGTGGTCTCTCCTCCTTTGGGGAAGCTAAGCACATACTTGTAAGTGCTAAGGAAAATGTGGCTTCTGTGCCTGGGACTCTTATAGAGAGCAAAGAAAATCCAGCTGCTATGACTGCATCACGACAAACATCCTTGTAGCTGGCTGAATTTTTTCAGGGACTTTCAGGAGAAGGGCAGCATCTGAACCCCAGAGCACTGAGGAAAGGATATCACTCAGAGCTGGAGATGGGGGGAGAGGGGTGTCCAGTTAAGGTAGGTCAGGAAGCCAGTGTCCAGCAAGAGAACCTTCTGGAAATAGCCCTGTGTCTGGTGTACCAGTGCACTCAGCACACCCTCTGTGGTCAGTGTGTCTGTGCACCCATGCGACCATTATATCTAAGAGCTTGGTATACCTGAGGACCACAAGTCTGACCATGGCAGGATACTCTGAACTCACCTGTATCCTCTGTCCTCTTCCTCTGTCAGTCCTGTGGCTATGGCACAAAAGATGAGGACTACGGCTGCGTGCCCTGCCCAGCAGAGAAGTTCTCCAAAGGAGGCTACCAGATATGCAGGCGCCACAAAGACTGTGAAGGCTTCTTCCGGGCCACCGTGCTGACTCCAGGGGACATGGAGAATGACGCTGAGTGCGGACCTTGTCTTCCTGGGTAAGAAGAAGCACCAGGCCAGGTCTGAAAAAAAAAGCTCTAGTGCCCACTAGGAAAAACCCTGCCAGCGCGGACCTTTAGTTTTATCTCTCACTCCTGCCAACCATCCTGTTTTACAAGAGGCAACTTGACCAGAAGGCACATGTCTGGAATTAGGAAGCCTGGCTTCTGGGATAGCAAACTCCCACCATCTTTCACAGGACTTGAAGGCTACCAGTCTCAACTTCCGTGTCTCTTAAGAGTCTCTACTATACAAATCAAACAAATTTGTCAAATATTTACAATGAGATAATAAATGTGGGATACTTTGCTGGAAAAAAAAAACCCTAGGATTCATTTCACAGTGAAGTATTTTTAGTGTTCTAGAAAAAAAAGAAAGAGCTAATAATAGTAATATTTGAATCACATTGATGGCATTGATGCCGATAATTACAGCACAATTCTGTTATGTATTAAAGTCCTTCCCAAAAAAGCAAAGTGAAAATGTAATTAGCCTAAAATGCAGAAAGATAAGATCTTCCTTTTCCAAGCAAGACATCAGCAATTCTGCCTGGAACAAGCATAGCCTCAACACCTTGTCAACTGCAAGCCCCAGCTGTTGCTGCTGGCTCCCTCTAGTGGCCACAAGACATAATACTCGCAAGGAGTTCTAATAAAAGCCCAAAGCATCCCTCCCTGAGGCCTGCAAGGGGAATAGAGGCCCCGCAGTGGTGGAGGTGGGCCTGGTAAACAGCAGCATTTTGAATGGTTTACTGTACTTTGCAGTCTGCTTGTAACATATTTCAGTTCGAGTCTCCTCTGGCTTCTGTCTTCAGTTCTGACCTAACTCCTGAACTATAGACCTACACATCCAGGCCAACAGCCAGAGTGTGCTGGGCAACGCTTGCCAACGACCCTAACACAGAGCGTGACTCAAACAGTTTTCAAGTGAAAAAGAAAAAAAGCAGGGAAACTTATCATAGAATCTTATTTTCCCAATGTAAAAATGTAGGTAGCTCCTTAGAAGAGAATGCACTCTTCTCCTAGAAAATGTGATAAAACAGTTCTGTCAGTGGGTACTTTTTCATTTCATTATTGAGATTATGCTACCACAGCTCCACCAAAAGAAACATGCTGGAAGCGGGAGAATTGATCTTTTCCAACCTAATGGCACAGAGGTTTCCTAGCCAGAATGGACAAGCCCTGGGATCCGGGGCCTGCTCTGACTTGGTACGTGGCTCTGGGTGAGAGGGTTTCCACAGGATTCTGGCATTCTAGAGGGCTAGGCTCAGCCTACTATTGTATATGCTCCCCAGAACTTCATCTTGATTATTTTTCACTGGTACAGATACATGATTCATGAAAGAAATGTAGTGTCGTGGATTACCCTGCACACGTTGCCATACCCACTTAGAGGAAAAAATACCCCTTGTAAAAACCTTATTTTTTTTTTAAAGATTTGTTTATTTGTGCATACAGAACTGGGGTAAAGGCCAGAGGTGCAGAGGCGGTGAGAAGATTCACCAGAGACAGAGTGGGGAGCAAAACAGGCAGATCATTGAAGTACACTGTTGAGGGGAACAGCGCACAGGTCAGGAGAGGTCTGCCAGGCCATATGGATCACCTCCGGGGCAGGCAGGGATGGAACTCATGCTGAGGTGGCTTTAGCTTCTTAGTGCTGTGCTTTAACCCGCTGTGCCACCAGGGAGGGCCCCCTGCAAAACCATATTTTGAGGGGCTCCCCTGATATTCACGACCTAGCATTTCAGTAAACATTTGAATTAAGATCCTTTCAAGAAGGTGCCAGTAAGACACCTACAAAAAAGTCTCTGATTTAGTTCGAACGGTGAGACAAGTGAGCAAGCGAACAGAGTATAAGATAGCACACACGGAGTTCTAGAAGCTGAGGAAGGACCCCTCATACCATGTAAGGGAAATGGGTTAGGAGGGCTTAGAAGACTCTGGGATGGATGGGAGTTAGTCAAATTAAGATGTAGACTAGAGCACAAATTGTGAGCTACCCAGCAGAAACTGGTGCTGACTAAGGTCTCTCTGTGGCTAAGCAGAAATTACATAGAGGGTACAATAGAACTAGCAAAGGAACCAAACAGAGAAGAAAACAGCACTGAAGACTTGAGTCTTTAGCTTGCCTCTGCCCCAGGTCATAAGGCATACTGTCAGACAGAGCAGGGCTGTACCCTAGAGCCGTCCTCCTGACAGAGAAAGAGACAGGAGCCTAGGACCAAAGATAAGGACTAGGGCAAGATGGAGGCTCATACAGCTGGAGGAAAAGAAAAACTCCAAGGACATGTTGGGTGCTAGCAGTAGGTGCACAGTGAGCATATGTTGGGTGCGGCAAAGGGAATTTTGAAGAGAACTCTCCAATGTCTGCCTTGGTGGGCTGTGTGCATGAGGTGCCATTTGCTAAGACATAGAATACTGGAAGAAAAAGCATTTCTGTGGAGGAGGTGGAGGGAGATGAAGATGTGTATAGAATTTCAGGTATGGTGACATCCAGACCAAGATGTTTAAATGCAGATAAATAAACAAGGATGAAGCTCCGGATCAAGGTCCAGGCTGAGGAACAGGATCCAGGAGTCATGGCCAGGTGGACTCCTGCACCAAGGCACTCACTGGGGTAGAGAGGCAGGGGCAAAGGGAGCTTTCCCTGTGGATCCACAGTGTCTGCAAGGTTCAGCAGCAGTTTTGATATGATGCTGTCAAAGAAGCAGCGAGCACTGTTTCCATCTTTCTTAGACTCACAGAGGCTTCCTAGACAGAATGGACAAGCCCTGGGACCAGTGCAATAAATAACTCTGTTCCAGGTATCAGCATGCTCACCAGACATACTGATTCAGTAGCAATGGAGACAACTGGGTTGGTCCCATATATTTACTAGAAGAAATTGTGACAATGCAATATTCGTGAACTCCTGACTCTAAAAGGCTTCAAAAGACAAGGGACTTCTGTAGACTTGGTGGGGTCAACCTGTGTTTTCTTGCTGGGAGGAGTCCTTCCAACTCTGAAATCTTGATTGGCATCCTCCCTGCTCCACGGCAGCAGTGACCTGCTTCTCTGGCCCTTTATTTTATACACTGGATCAAGTCTTTATTCCCTGAGGGAATAAAGGATGCTATGCGGAGACACAGCTAACTCACCCCTGTGCCCTGCTAGGCCCTGCATCTCCAGCCCCCACCCTGCTGGTGCTGATTCGGATGAACTCAGCCTTCATGGAGTGGCCCCAAGGCCTCAGCTTCCTATTACATACCCTGGGCTTAAAGGACAAAATGAAGTGCTTATGCTGTGTTACCGAGGAGGATTACAAGGAGTTCTGGCAAGTTGGCGCTGTTAGTGCAATGAAAGGCTGTTTTCATTCCCGAATCATGTGGCTTCCAGGCTGCGGATGCAGACGGCCTCAGATTTGTCTTCCTAATGCAACAGGTCCCCTCTGTGGTTTGGCAAGAAACTTCTCATTCTTCACAGCCTCTACTGCGTATCAGAATGTGGCCAGGATGCTAAACAATGAGTGGCACGGGGGCTTTCCTGTTGAGAAAGGGCTGTGTGGGAGGACAGGGACAAAGGCCAGGAGAGGAGGAAAGAGGAAACTGATTTTATAACCTCCCCCAGAGCATCATCTTACCCACAGAGAAGCGCCCGCTGGCTGGCATCCACACCACATCCATCTCTTTCAAATTCCGGACCTGAGAGCCACTGGGGTCAGAGTGGGAGGCATAGTGGCTGGGCCTCTGTGCCAGTGTCGGAGCAGGTGAGAGAAATCCAATGGGCACATCACATAGCGCACGCTCAGGAGCCTGAGAAAAGATCTTCGGGGGGGTGGGGGGGTGGGAAATCTATATTCCTTTGGCTTGAAGGAAACCAACCTCTACATAAAAGATTCTAGAGGTGTATTTAAACTGAACCTTACCCTAGGCTACTGATTTTAACCAATCTTGGAAAAATGACAGGGTGAAGGGAAGGGGTGAAATGAGAAGTACCAGGCAAAAGTCAAAATACAGGTCAAAGTGTAGAAAACTAGGCTTTTACAGAAAGACAAGGGACCCAGCAGCCTTTAGCCACCACAAATCCCTAAACAAACACTTAGCTTCACACTGTGAAATCTGTCTGGTGAGAGCAGCTGAAGGCTTATTCTCCACTGCTCTGTGCTGGCAAGACAGAGGGAGTTAAGGTGTTAAGGCACACCACGCAGAGTTGAAGCTAGTCCTAAAAAAGAGCAGGCCCCAGGGGCACACAAGGCATTTAGCACCCCCTCTGAGTTTAGCGGATCCCAAAACAGCCACACACAGACTTCAACTTGTCTCTTTACTAAGTTTTTAAGTTACTGAGTTCACTAAGTTCATCATGCATGTTGGTTCAGACACATCCTTAAGCAGGAGGCTCAGTGGCAGTTGCTGGGGGCACCCAGAGTGAGAGACACCCAGAGTGAGAACAGTCAGCATGACTATTGTGATGCTTGGAAAGGGCAGCAGACATGTCCCAGATGGAAATGGTCTCCCCAGGCCTGTACCCCCAAAGTGCCAGGGAGACCTCTTAAGCCTAAGCACGCTCTGCCCACCTGGGTGGCCACTGATCTTCATCAGATAGAGATTTTCATCAGCACCCAGAGGATTAAACGGGGTGGGCTAAACTGTGGTTGTAGTTTTAGAAAAGGAGGAAAGAGACACAAAATGCCCTAAGGGCTTCTATCCTTCTCAGCACTTTGAATTTCCATGATGAAGATTTTGCTGTTATTCATTCATCTTTTTCTATCTAGGATTTACCTAGAACCTTCCCTCCTCAGCACCTAGCACAGGGTACTGGGAATACAGGCCAGCTCATGGACTCCCTATTGGGAGAGAAGCAGGGGACAGGACATGAAGGTGCTAGTTGTGGAGGTGAGAAGGGGCTGATGGGTCTGGATGTTAGGAAGCTGCAGGTCTGACTTGGCTGACCTGGCATCTGTCACCCTTATGAGCTTCCTCATGCTCCCTCCTGGGGACAGACCCACTTCCTGTTCTGGGTACAGATGACCTCTCTAGGGGGTAGAAGGTGGGTTTGAATGAGGCTTTTTCCAGAAGGCTATATAGAACTAGCTATTATGGTTTCTCAGTGGGGTGTTTTGGGATTGGTTAATTAGTGTTTACCAGATGCACAGAGATTTGAGGATAAAAGACATTGAAGAAGGGTAAGCAGTTGCAATCATAACATCACAGTCCTGTTTGGGGAAAGTGGAGTCCAGGGACAACCCCACCACACCCCCAGCCAGAGCTGCCCCAGAGCGCTGCTGTCTGGGGAAACTGGGAATGCCTGCTGATAAGAGACTAACAGCAACCACAGAAAAACCCAGAAGTGGAAAGGGATCTTTTATGTCTTGAATTATAATGAGGGAAACAGTACCAGCTTACTTTATTTAATTATTTCTCACACTGGCTAAGTGGCTCCATGATCACTCCAGAAAATGGCCCAGTGCCTGACGCCTCAGCCTGCAGGAGAGTGGAAGCTAAGCAATGTGCCTGTAGGAGGTGCCCACCCTGGTAGGGCCTGGGGAGACCTCTGACCCAAGGGCGGAGAGTGGTCTGGGGGCTGACACACTGACGTCTGGCAGCTCAAAGCACACCATGGAACATTGCTTGGGCAAAGGGCTTGTCTGTCTTGAATGGTTAGTCCTTTTCAATGTAGTTCCAGTGCTCACATAGGTACTTTTCTTCAGTCAGTGCTTCCTGAGAAGGAAACAAATGAGCTTCAGTTCTAACCTCGCTGTTACTGGGATCCTCAGAAATGACCTCTGTGGACATTGACTTGGTCCAGAGCAGCTATGTGCTGTCCACCAACTCCATTCAATCTCAGCCAGCAGTGCTCTGGGGATCTGGGAGGTGCCGGTGTGAGGAGCTCAGGGTCACCAGCTAATAATGTCATGTGGCTGCAGCCTGAGTCAGGCACCACCGAGGATACTCCCCTTTTACAAGGTCTGCTCCCTGGTTAGTGAGGCTAGTGAGGCTCCCAGAGAGCCAAGTCGGTGCACCGGTGGAGGATGTGCAGATATTGATGGTGGGAGATGCTGATGAAGACTGTGATGACATACATAAAGTGAATCCATCAGTGAAAGGAACCAAAAGCGAAGGAGCTTGAAAGAAAGCCCAAACTGGCCCAATATTGGAAACTAGTATGTGTCAGTGTAAGACATGCTGGAAACTGGTGAGAATACAAACTAGTACAACCACTGTGGAAAACTGTTCGGAGTTTCCTCAAATTGCTAAACATGGAGCTTCCTTACGATCCAGCAATCGCACTCTTAGGTATCTACCCAAAAGACACAAAACACTGATTCAAAAAGATATCTGCACCCCCATGTTTATTGCCACTTTAGTCACAATTGGAAAGACATGGAAACAGCCCAAATGCCCAAAAATGGATGACTGGATTAAAAAGATGTGGTACATATACACAATGGAATATTACTCAGCAACCAAAAAACAAAACACATGTCTTTTGCAGCAACATGGATGGAGCTGGAAAAGATCATGCTTAGTGAAATAAGCCAGAAAGAAAAGGAAAAATATCGGATGGTTTCTCTCACAGCAGGAATATAACGAAACTGGCGAGAAAATAATGATAATGATGAACAGCTATATACCAGAGACATTTTGTGGGGGTAGAGTGGGGAATGGGATTAAAAACAGTGGGGGGAGGGAAATGCACTGGACTCTGGTGATGGCACATTGTTGATTCGGTGATGGGAAACCCAAGGGGATTGCAACTGAGATGGAAAAATGCACAAAAATATGTAAAAATTAACTATTATAAAATTAAAAAAAAATACATGTTGGAAACTCCTAACTCCTATGGGTCAAGATGGGCTGCCTGTCCAGGAGGCTCCCAGTTTTCACTGAGTGTTTCACACCTCCTCAGACCACCGTGGACATGCTCAGTAATCTTACTTGTGTTATGTTTGGCTCACCTGTCTGCTCCATTTGTCTCACCCTCTCTGTAGCTATTACATGCTGGAGAACAGACCCAGGAACATCTATGGCATGGTCTGCTACTCCTGCCTCCTGGCGCCTCCAAACACCAAGGAATGTAAGTTCCCCTTGTCCTGCCATTAGAATATGCTGAGTCCAGCACTGACAGCTCTGGTTACACTGTGCTGTGCACAGAGGTCAAGCCTGGCACCAAGGCCCATGAGCCACAGTGGGACCAAACAAATGTTTCCGCAGCAAGCCCAACAGCAAGCAGCAGACCTGTGAAGGGAGGTTTGCTAATCAGTCAGGCTAACAGCCCCTTTGAACAGGTCATACAACCACCCTGGGCCTCAGTTTCCCTATCTGTAATATGGTGGACCTGTGCATCTGAAGCTACTCATTGGAAAGACCAAAGAGCTCACAGATGCAAAGGTAGCATAGTTGCTAAGTACGGCAAGGCACGAGGCACTTGTAAGTTCTCATATACTTTTCTTTAATCAGATGAGGCACAGGGAAATATGATGGGCAAGAGTTCTGAATCCCACTTGGAGCACTCCTGTTCCTATTCTCATTTTGGTTTGATTCTCATGGGCATCTCTTTGTCGGGAAGGGCCAGAAATCTCCACTCCACGGGATGTATGTGTAGTCTCTTGCCCTATAGTCTTGGTACTAGTGATGGGGGCAGGGGTACAGATGGGCAGCTGGGGGAGGCTGGAGTTTGGCCTGCATGAGGGAACTTGCCTCACTTTCCTTCCAGTGCCAATTCCATTCCAGTAGTCCACAATTCCGGACCTTACCCTGGGACCCTGCCTTCCTGCCTCCACCCACTCATGTACCTGAAATGTTTTGAGAATAGAATAAGACTTATGCCTTAGAGTGCAAGGTGGAAGGGAAGGAGAGCAAGAAGAGGGAGGCCCCCCCCCATCTCTGAGGTTCAGCTGGAGTTGGTGCTGGAAGGTGGGCAGGACTGCCAGGAAGGGCCACACCTTTCTTATTAAATTGCTTAAGTCAACAAGCCAGGCAAAAATAGATTAGCATGTCTTTAAAGCTGAGCTTTCCTGCCTAATTAATTAATTAATTTCCTGCCTTCTTATACTAATTGATTCACTAATTAGAAGCATCCCAAGGCTGGGGCTGCCAGCAGGTTCTATGGTAAAGTCATGATCATTGCCAGGGAAACTAAACCCACTTAATGCCTGGTGGTTCTGGGTTGGATTCTTCATCCGGGAAGAAGTCAGACTCACTTCCTTTAGAAAAGGAATCTGAAATCTGAAAAACTGCTCTTTTCAGTGGATACCTTTTGTTTGAAAGCTCACACACTCAGGGTCCTTCTTGATGTGGGGGCTTCACTTATTTCTGACAGCCAGAAGAGCTGGTGTTGGGGGTGAAAGCCTCTCTCTCCTCTGACAATGAAAGAGGCGGGCAAGAACTGGTGGTGGACGGGGGGGAACCAAGCCCCTGAGTCCTGGAGATTTTAAAAATGAGCGAATCCTCTCTAGCCCCCAAACCTTAATCACTAAGTTGAAAATTAGCTTTCAGGGAAGCCTCATAGTGAGTTTGTAGACTCTAGCCCTGAAAGAGGTAAGAAAAGAAATAGAAGCTGAGTCAGGGAGCCTCCAGCCCTGGCTGTGTCCCAGTGAGCTGTGTGGCTTGTGCTAGTCATCAGATCACTGTTTGCCCATCTGGCAGGCAGGAAATACAAAAAATGAGGTCTGTGAGGTGCTGTGGTGAGTGGAACCCTGTCAGGATCTCAAGTGTGGGTAGGAGGATTATCCTGTCTAACTCTGGGTTGTGCCGCTTTCTGCATGGAACCTCGGTCTGCAAATCTGGAGTCAGAAGATAGAGCTAAAAATTTTGACAATGACTACAGCTTCCATGGAGATGCCAAGACTGAAACCCACAGAGCTATCATCAGTAGCCACAGCCCAGGAAAGTCAGAAACTGGGATGAATCTCATTAACAGAACCCCAGAGTCTCCAGCTTGTTGCCACACTTCAGTGACGCTGTGTTTCTGAGTCCACAGGAGATGGTAAAGTCAGGAAACTTGAATGAAGCTCACCCTTCTCTCCTGTCTGGGACTTGTCCATCAAAAAAACTTCAGGATGCACTGATGTCCCTATGCTTCACCACCTCCAGTCCCAACACCATCTGTGCCTTAGCAAATTAGCTGTAAGTGAAAGTGAGAGCAAAGGCCTTCAGTTATTTTTTTCAGTGAAATCAAAGAGCTAGATCACTTAGTGCAAGTAAAGCGTTCTTGTTTTGTTTTCTTCCTGCACCATCCTGAGAACTTGACCCGTGAGGATGACCTTGCCACCTGTGAGGATGACCTTGCTGCCTGTAAGAATGACCTTGCAAAAGAGTCTATGTTGTGATGACAATGGACAGTTTGGTGTAGCAGAAGAGAAAGGGGTTTGGGTTTTATCACAAGTTTCCACTCTTGGGAAAGTTACTTAACTTTGTTAGGAAACTTTGTTCCCTAACTATAAAATGGAGACACCTGTGTCATAAGACTGAGGTGAGGAGATACGTCCAACCTCAAGGAAGGGCCCACTCCAGGGCTGTTTGTCGCCCGTGGTTGGGCCTAGACTCCAGTGCAGCTCTACCTCGGCCTCACGCCCTGCACAGCAGCCGCCCTGCACCCCTGTCGTTGCACTTAGGACTCCAACCAGCGAGGAACTTCTCTCACGGAGCACCGAGGTGCTGCTGAGGTCATATTGGGCCTTGAGAATGGCTCCATCGCCATTGTTTTATTACCACGCATCAGCGATCACATCCCCTGGCTCAGGGTCTGCCTGTCTGGAGAATGTACCCTGTAGGAGTGCAGAGCTGCCGTGTTCCCACAGCGACAGGACTCAAACGTGACTCAGCTCTCCTAACATCAGTTTGCAAATTGTTTCTAAATACAGTCCTTATCAAATGTGAACGTACATCCCATCACTGGGGGTTTTGCTAAGAAACAGACCCTGATGCAGCAGAACTGGGGCGGAGCCCAAGACTTGGTGTCAGTGAGCATCCAGGGCTCCGCCAGTGGCTTGGTGCCAGCTCCGTCTGTCCTGTTGCTGTACGCTCCACCACTAGAGGGCGCTGGGCCTAAGCACTAGTTCCAGGGGCTCATTGTCGTCGTTGGCAACCGTGAGGCTCTATAAACAAACCACTCTTTAAAATCTAAATTCGTTGGCCTATATAGAGAATCCACCAGGCTCTAATGTATATCAGCATAGCTATGCATGGTGTGGAATAACAGAATTCAAAGGCCCCAACGAATTCTATCACTGCATATAGAGGACAGATCTGAAAATCCTCCTGAGTAAGGTGAACACTCACCCTGCAAAACCTTACCTCCCCGCGCCTGCCAGCTGAGTCAGTGCCGTCTCCAACTCAGAAGGGAGAAAAGATAAACCCGTCCTGTTTTGTCTCCTTTTAATATAAACCTTGTGTGGAAATTTCTGCCTACTTTCAGGGTCTGTAATTATCTCCAGCATCCTCTCATTCTCATCCTGACCCCTTGGCTTATTGAAAGCTGGTCTTCGATGGAAGTGCTATGGAAGGGGAAGTGGACCTGTAGCTGACCACCCAACAGAAACAGCAGTGAGAAATATCATCTAAAGGGCCATTCCAAGGGTGTTCAATGAACTAGAAATACACAGCACTGCTGGAAAAGAGGGAAAGCGCCCAGATACCCTAGTTTTTTTACTAGTGCTAAGTTAATCCGCTTCAGATCCATAGCAGAGCCTGGAAATCATGCCTCCGGGGCCCTGAGTGTTCTGGCATGCTGTCCTGCGGGCACCTGCCCCAGACGTGAACTATCAGTTTATGTGCTTCCTACCGCCTCGCCCCCACCCCCTCTCAGCCTCAGATGCTCAGCACAGACTGTTTTTTTCTGATCAGCTCAGGGATCAGGAATTCCAGAGAGCATCCTGCCAGTCCCTGCAACCTGCGGCTGTTGAGCTGACCCTGGCTGGAGTTCAGCTGAGGGAAATGTCTGGTGAATCAGAGCAGAACACGGCCCGGCGTGCCATGGCAGCAAGGGCAGGCAGGTGCCTGCTGCACAGCCTCGTGTGCACCGTTGACTTGCAGTGACCTGCACACGTCGTGACCAGCCCTATCAATCAGGTGCAAGCATCCACTGCCCTCTCTCAGCCACAGGCCTGGGCATACTTGTGTTCCCAGTCTCAACCCTGTCACCCAGTCTCAGTGGGCCATCCCTGGCAGGAGGGGATAAGAAGAGACAAAGATGAGAAGCAACCACCAGTAGAGCCCACAGGCATATTTATTCTGAAGACACAGCTTAAGCTCTCTTGAGCCCCTCACCCAACCAGCCAGCTTTGCTTCTTTTTCAGTATCTTATTTGCTTTTCAAAAGAAGTCAGGTTACCCTTGAGGTCACAAGGAATTTGATAAGCATTTTGCAGCAGGACACAAATGGTCCTGGAGATCTGAAAGCCACTCTCTCAGCAATCAGTTTCCCCAGGGACTCAAAGTTGTCCCTGAGAAGGAAGGTGGGGTACTGACTTTACTTCTGACCACACATCCCTGAAACAACCTTGACAGGCCATTGGTTCCAAGACCAGGTGAGAAGACTAAATTGAAAAACAGAGAAAGCATGTTTCAGAATGGACTTGTTGTGCTCAGATTTCAAATCCCACAAGCCATCAGAGAGATGATCCAATGCAAAGCATGAGGGTGTTTATTGGCAAGCTCGAGCCTGGACTCTAGACTCCTCCGACACAGCAGTGGTGGTCAGGAGCCCCGAGCATCCATTACACAGGGTTTTTAAAGTTTCTATTATGCGGATTTACAATACTCAGATTGGTTGAGGGGATCACCTTATGGTGGGCTTCAGCATTCAGATTAGCTGAGGGCATCACCTTATGGTGGGCTTCAGTACTTGGATTGGCTAAGGTGATGAGGTCTCATTATGCTAACTCACAGTACTCAGATTGGTTGGGAGAAATCACCTTATGGTGGGCAACAATACTTGGATTGGCTGGGGTGATCACCATATGGTGGATTGACACTTGATTAGCCATGGCCAAGTGGTCTGGGGGAGGGGAAATAGGAAGGGCTGCCTCTCCAAAGTTTGAGGAAACTGAGACCTTAGGCCTGGTCTGGACCTAAAGCCTGTCATGGCGGAGGCTTATGTTCTTTCAGGCTTGAGGGAAAACTTCCATTTTTCCTTCAGAATGAAAGGAACCTTCTCCTTAAGTGGTGGTAGGAGGGGCATGTGTACTGGAGGGGCATGTGTCCTCAAGGAACTGCTGGTACAGGAAGCCCTGAGAGGAAAAAAGAACATCCACTGCCCCCAGTGACTGTGCGACCACCTACCAAGCCCTGTGTGCCCAGCACCAGTCAGCAAAAGAGAAGAGGCCCCAGGACTTGAGACCACGTGTGTTCTGGGCAGACCCCTCTTGGTCTCCATCTACTCAAAGGGCAGCGGTGCTGACAGCACTTGGAGCAGCAAACCTCCAGAGAGGAGATGCCTCTGGTTCTCTCTCACTTAGCAAGTGGGGAGATTTTGTGACATGGAAGATGGCTCCAAGCATGACTAAAGGACAGCCGAATGGCACCAGTTGACAGGCTGTCACCTAGCCGATAAGCCTCCTTGGGTGCCCAGAGCTTGTGCCGTCCCTCAATAGTTAAAGGGTGTTCTGCTTTGGTACCCTCAGGTTTGTTGCTTAAGGAGCTCCCATCTTTTCCCTCCAGCTGGCAAATTATGTCTCTAATGCACCAGGACAGCCTGACCTGCCAACCGGAGTGACTCATAAAGACAGCAGGAGCCGGTCCAGGCCTGTCCCTGTCACCTCCCAAGCCTCGTTTGTCGTTTTCTATTTCTTTTTTAAGATGTGAAGATGGGGAGTTTCTAACCCTGCTCTTCTTCAGTCTTCTCTCCTATGGGACAGAGACATGCATGGGAGTGGGACAGTCGTAGCCCATGGCCTCTGGGTAGCCCAAGGCATACCACTCACAAAGCAGGCATATGTCCTTCCTGAGACCCTCCCCTTAGAGAAAATGCCCAACTCCCAGAGGCCTCGCAGCGCACTGGTAAAAGCACAGCCTCACACGGGTCCTGACGCAGTCCTGACGCCGGAGCCCTGGCACAGTGGGCAGAACAAGGCTGGCTCTGCTGTCCTCCTTGGGGAGAATGCACCTTGTGAACTACTTCAGAAATGAGAGACAAGAGCAAGGCAGAAGGAAACCTGTGAAATGACCATTTTCATTAATTCAGAGCTCATCAGGGCGTCACCTTTTCTGTGGGAAAAGTTTTGTGTGTTTGTTTTAAAAATTCCTTGGTGACTTAATGGACCATAAAATCAGCTAAGTGAATTTTCCACACAGAAAGGAGTTTATGAATCATGGCTCTAAGTGAAGACAGATTCATCACTGTTCTTAAAAAGTTTGGTCACAACTGGTTAGAAAATGAATCACACGAAAATTCCTAGAGGAAAATGTCCACATAAGACAGTGAGACTGTGGATGATTTCTTTTGCTTTTTTCTTGGGTGTCAGGTTTTCACAGAGCTTTAATAATGACACATATTAGTTTAACAACTAGAAAATGTATTAAAAATACATTCCTGTTCTGTCAATTGAAGGAATTGCTCAACTAAAATATTCCAGTAATGCTTTCATTATACACATACTCTTCTCATCTTTATAGATTGCATTTCCTAACTCAACTCATGATAAAATTATATTAGTGAAATTTGCAAAGCTCCCTGTTTCATCTTGGCAGGGTTATCTGCCATGTGTGTCTTTTTAGCTTAATAACAGTGACTCTGAGAGATCACAACATTCTTTAGGAATCATTTAACATTCCAAGAAAGGAGAAAATTCCCTCCCCAGACCACTCATAATCTAGGACCGTCTGGCTGCTTATGTCTCAACCCCCACAGCACAGCTTCTTCAGCTGTCTGCAGGGGATGTGACTGTGTACTCCTTGCAGGTGTGGGGGCCACATCTGGAGTCTCTGCCAACTTCGCTGGAACATCTGGCAGCAGCACCCTTTCTCCTTCCCAGCACGCCCACAAAGGTAAGGAGGGTTCAGGCACCACCCCCAACCCACCTGGAAATGAGGGAGGCTGAATAAAAGGAAGAGAGAGAGGAAAGAAGTGTAGGCTGAAGGAAGGCTACAGCTTTCCCCGCTCAAGTCACATCCCTGATGTTATCCACTCACCCCTGGAAACCCTAGTTGCTAGAAGTCAGGAGTCCTCTCTGCAAGGAGCAGAGCTGATGGCTTGGGCATCCTGGGCTTTGGTAATACAAGCAGGTTCCTGGGTCCAGGAATAGTGCTGGGGGGAGGGAACTTCAAGGGCAAGGGGGTTGGAACCCTGCCCTGGGACTGTTGAGACCAACAGTGACAGCTGCTGCCTTCAGACAAACATGCAGCACTCAACTTTCATGTTCATTTCCAGCACCTTCATTTTACTCCTACCCCCTAATGAATGAAAACCTTGGGAACATAGCGCTCCCATAGCAGACCTGGTAGCTTGCTCCTCCTCCTGTTAAGGACCCCACACCTGAGGGCCCTTGGCCCTTGGTGTCTTTTTTTTTTTTTAAGATTTATTTATTTGTGCATACAGAACTGGGGTACAGGCCAGAGGCTCAGGGGCGGTGAGAGGCTTCACCAGAGACAGAGTGGGGAGAAGAACAGGCAGATCGACGAAGTACACTGCTGAGGGGAGCAACGGGCGGGTCAGGAGAGGTCTGCCACGCCATGTGGTCACCTCCGGGGCAGACGGGGATCGAACTCATGCGGAAGTGGTTTCAGCTTCTTAGTGCAGTGCTTTAACCCGCTGCGCCACCAGGGAGGGCCCCTTGGTGTCTTTTGAGAAAAAAAATTTCACGCAGCACAAGAATGAAGCCAGAAGCTAAATTTTCTAGGAAGCCATAGGACAGGGCACTGCAGAAGCAGTGGGCAGCCTCAGAAAGTGGGACAGCCACCTTGGACAGTAAAACAGGAGGGATTTTGAGATTTTTCCTATTTGGGGGAGGGGTCCGTTGCCAATTCTAGATTAATTGTAACTCCCCATCTCTCCCTCTCTTCAAGTGGGAGCAAACTGTAGTTAAGAGACTCTAGGCCCCCAAGACCTGTCAGACCTTACCTGGTCCTTGACACAGAGTAATAGCCTAGCTGGACAGTGGATTGCAGACATGAGCTGTCTCCTCTGAGGGAGCAGGAGAGCACTTTCATTGAAAGTGCTGAACCTTCCATTATTTAAGCAGATTTGAGACCAGTGAGGCTTGGGGTTCTTTAAAAATCCCAGAGTACCCTCAGCATAATCCCCCAAACTTGACCCTTCTAAGCATTCACATAGAGCATGTAGGGCAAAATTACTAGGCTATATGACTCCCACTTACATTAGGACCTGGGGGAAGTAACAGAACTCAGAGAATATTAAAACTTATATCATCTATAGTTGACATCTCAAAAATGTTACATATATCCCCAAATGACACCCTGAGGCCAGTTTTCTTTACAGACACACCTGCCTGAAAAGTAGCAGCTGCAAAACCTGCAGGCTTGGGTTGTCATTCCGGGCGCCTCTTGTCAAAATTGGGCCACATACTCTCCAGGATGCTCCTCAGGCCCTCTAGATGTTTGTCTTTTCCCAGTTTTGGTGGTAGGTGATCTGCCTCTCACTGTGTGAGACCCAGAATATTGTTTGCTTGTTTCAGACATCAGAATAAGTGTCAGGGCATCTCACGCAATAAAGCTGAGCAAAGTGCCCCACTGGTGCAATCACTGAGAAGCAGAAAGTGGATGCTGAGAAGGTCAGGGTCAAAGACCAAAATAATCTCCAGGGTCAACTCCAATAATAACCTCCACAATATGCCAATAAGAACCTCCACAATATGCTGTCCACTGGTCTCTTCCTGAATTTCTCAGAAAAAATGGCATGGCCAGAGGTGACAGAACAGAAAACCAGCTGCATCACCTATGTGCCACCTTTGCCCTGAGATTTTTCACTTTCACTATTTCACAGTTATGGCTGTAATTGCATGCAGCACTAGATAGAATCAAACCAACAATACAGTCGCTGACCCTCAAAGCTGACTTTTACATCCTGACTTGTGGTTGGACTTGACCTGGATTGGATTGTCTTCAGGACACTTTAGTTCAAGAGCCTTGCTCCCTCTCCACATCCCACTTTGCCCTGTATTCCCAAAGTAGCAGAACCAAGAGCAAGGACACCAGAAACCTCAGGGAACCCAAACCACAACTCAGCCTGCCTCAGTTGTGACAGAGAGAAACTCATGGGGAGTCCTGATGGGATGACCAAGGCAAACCTTCAGGACTCTCTTCTCAGATCTAGCAAGTGTTTTGGACCTCGTATATTCCTGGAGACATCACAATGGTGGAACCATTGCTCACAGGGTCAGTGGTCTGGGAAGAGGGAAGCCTGACTAACAGTTCCCAGGGGATGTCAACCCTAGGTCACTACCTTCTCTTCCCACTCCAGCAGAGCTCTCAGGCCAAGGACACCTGGCCACAGCCCTGATCATTGCCATGTCCACCATCTTCATCATGGCCATCGCCATTGTCCTCATCATCATGTTCTATATAGTGAAGACGAAGCCTTCTGCCCCAGGTGACTGCTCCCCACACCCCTGCCCACATGCCTCCCTCTTCACAGTTCCATCAGCCTGCTCAGGTGCAAGCCTGGTTACTCATACTCTTCTCTCTCCACACAGCCTGCTGCACCAGCCACCCAGTAAAGAGCGTGGAAGCCCAAGTGAGCAAAGACGAGGAGAAGAAAGAGGCCCAAGGTTTGCACACAGTCTCTGGAGGGGATGTCCATCTTCAGTGTGGAGGGTCTGCCCCTGTCACAATGGCTGCCACTCCTGACCGCCATGCTCCGTGCCACTGAGATGTGGGTCGGGGAGAGGGGTGTTGGTGCACCCGCCTTGCACTTAATCTTTAGGGTGTGGGGTTTAGTCACTAGGCGGTTCTGCTAAAAAGGAAGTAATCAGGGACTTTAACTCCTCCCTCCCCCATCTCCCCATAAACTTACAGACAATGTGGTGATTTACTCTGAAAAGGACGAATTTGAGAAGCTGACAGCAGCTCCAGCAAAGACTGCCAAGAGGTAAGTCAAGTCCAGGCAGCCACCTGCCATTGGGTGTAGCAGCTTCCAGCTCCAGGCTGAAGCCAGGGGTCCTCGTGTATGCCAGAACAGGCAGAGGCTCTGACTGTGCCAAACATGAGTGGACTAAGAAACCTGGCTCCTGGCCTGAAGTCTTGTTAGGGACTGAGCCCCAGAGGCAGCAAGGCAGTGCCGGTCAGCACAGGTCTCAGCCTAGTGCCTGCCTGCTGCTGGGGCCCAGGACTCCACCTTTCCTAGGACTGGATGCACTGACCTCTACCTGCAGACCCCAAAACTTCCAAGTGCCCCCATAGCCTGCTTGGTACTACTGCTGCTGCCAATACTAACAGTGACATCATAGTGCTAAAGCTACAACTGGCAGCCCTTCACTGCTATAACAGTGGTGGTGACGATGGCTCAGCCTGTGAATGCCTCACCAGCCCCATGAGCAACGTGCTCATCTTATCTCTGTGCTTGTCACTGCCTAAAGTCACACACCCATGAGTGGCAGGACTGGGGGCTACCACCGTGATTTATCATGCACAAGGAAAAATGTAGGCTTTTTATTTGCCACCCTGTCTGGTCATTTGGACCTTATCCTGCTTAGGTTCCAAAAATCCATCCCAGAATATCAGTTCCCTAAGGCCTCTACCCCAACACATGCCAGGGCCCCATCCATTTGCAGATGGGGAAACAAAGGATATCATCTAACTGGTAACAGCAAGAATAGAGGTGAAGCCCTCCTTTTCTAGTCCCATGCCCATGATCTTTGCAGGGTGTGTGGACTCTTGCAAAGCCTTTATTTTTTAGGAACTACCATAAATCCAGATGTTTGTATTGAGTTTTGGCTTTTATAAAGCACTGCCAAACATGTTGTCTCATTTGAAAAACTCCTGTCTCTCAAAACTCCTAACACAGAGCAGGAAGCAAACTTAAATCAGGAAAGTCTTTGCATACTGGAAAAGAAACATTGAGGGTGTTTGCTCGACCCACAAAGTCTTAGGGAGCTGGGATCACCTGTGCCTCAGTTCCCACTGATCATTTTTCAAACTCCTGGGTATCTGTAGTCTGAGCAACTCTTCGCACCTTTGGCCAAGCCATGCCAGGCATCAGTCTCTGCTTAAGACAGAGTTCAGCACCTGGCTGCTCTTCTGTGAGCCTCCTGGCAGACAACAGCTCCTCCAGCCTCCCATCAGACTAATCCCATGCGTCAGCCTCCCCTTTCTGCTCCTCCAGTCTTTTCTATTTAGTAAGGGGCATGGGGAATACTCAAAAGGATGGAGATTATTCTGTGACTAGTTTCATCTAACTACTGAGGGAAAATTGGAAGACCCTACTTGAAAAGCAAACCACTGAGCTCTCGTCCCTTCTGCCTACTCTCAGCTCTCAAGGAAAAGACGTAGTAGGGTTGCTCCATGTCTTGGGGGACAGTGGCACTCCTGGTAGTGGCATTAGTCTCCCTTGAGGCCCTGACACCTGATGGGACATAGCGCTGGTGTTCATTTTCTTTATCGCCTGGCCTCTGGGACTGCAATCTTGTTGACTTCATCACTGAAGGCTAACAATTTTTTTTTTTAATAAAATGTCTTCAGCCAAACCAAAATAAATAACCAGGACACCTATGGAAAGGAGCAGTTTTTCATCTATCTGGAATGACTAGAGGGTCTCGCTCCGACAGCATTTGTCTCAGTCGCCTCCCGCCCCATGAGGAGCAGCAACAGCTCTACAAGCCCGCTGTGGGGGTCACAGCAGTCCTCCCAGCCCACCACCCCATGAGTACACTGAGTTGCTTCAGTCAGGCCACTTTAGAAGCAACAGGTGACTCCCTGACATAAGGTTCCATTCAGCTTTGGTTTGGGTTATTCCAGAGAACTTGTTTGAATTCAGAGCCAGCCACAGAGACCAGTTTGCTAACTGAAGACAGAGGCTGCCCTTGGTGCTTATCCCAGTTATGTAGGAAGCCATAACCCAGTTAAGAAACCTTTCCTGAGGGGAAACGGCAGGACACAATTGTGTCCCAGTTTGGCTAGCATCCTGAGCCGCCATTGACGGGCAGGGAGCCCATGAGTCTTCTCCATAGGGGTTGGAGACTTCCTGTGGGGCACTGATTTGTCAGGAGAGAAGCACCAACTGCTCAGGCAGAGCTTGAGGACCCGGGCCTGACATCCTGACTGCTGCACTGAGGAGGGCCTGTGGTCAACACAGTCCCTGCGCCTGTCACCTTATTCCTGCTCTTGTTGCTGCAGCGAAAATGACGCTTCCTCGGAGAATGAACAGCTGCTGAGCCGGAGCATGGACAGTGACGAAGAGCCGGCCCCGGACAAGCAGGGCTCCCCAGAGCTGTGCCTGCTATCCCTGGTCCATCTGGCGCGGGAGAAGTCGGCCGCCACCAAGTCAGCAGGGGTGAGGCTCTGCACTGTGCTGCCCACGCGGGGACCCGCGGGTGGGGAGACCCTGCACGCATCTGCAGGGTGGGGGGACGCCCACACCTGCAGCGGGCACTCCAAACCTTCCTGCAGGTTTAACGAATCAGCTCTGCTGGGAGACAGGGGACTTGCACTGAGTCCAATTAAAAAAAGAGGTTAAAATACATTTCTAATTGTATATAGCTTCAAAGAAGAAAATCAAAATAAGAGGAAACTGTTTAAATTGTTTGGCATTTACATGCCATAGAACAAAAGTTTTATAAACATACTTTATAAATATCTGTCCAACCAGATAAAAATATATGTAAATATGTATACATATATGAGTGTATTCATGATACACACATTTAACAAGTATACAGCATTTTTTTTTTCAAGTAAAATTTGCTTCGTGGATTGTCATGTAAAGCAGGGGTATGAGCAAAAAAGAGAGAAGCCCTGCCCTAGGCTACCTGAGTACGTAGACCCCCACCCTCCTCATCACCATTCTGCCCCCACCCTGCAAGGCTCAGGGCAGCTGTGTTAATAGGCAATATCACTTAACAGTCAACATGTTCCTGAATGGGAGGCTGGAATTGGCCTGGTTCCTGATGGGGACTTCATGGTCTGGGCTGTCTAGTTCAGTGACCTCTGCAGCAGGACCTGGAGCAGTAGAGAGGCATTGGTTGCCATGGGGTAGCTTCTGCACCTGTCCCTCATGGGTGCATTTCCCGGCTCAGCTCTGGGTGAAGAGCTCATACACAACTCAGTGGGTGCTGTACACATGGCTACAAGTGTCCTGGGCTGCCTGCCTTCCTGGCAAGCTGGGGACACTGCTTTCATTCTGCTAAAGATACTGATGTCAAGCACTACACCCAGTCACTGCCATCAATGCTGTCTTGAGTTCGAGTATCCAGTGAGCCTAAGAAGACAACACTGTGGTGGAAGTTACTTGCCTTGGGAAGCCAGAGAGAAAGCTTCCTCCCTGTGAATTATGAATGTGCTGTTCATATAAGGACTTGATTAGAAAACAAGGAGAGGATGATTTCACTCATAGCAGGAGTATAACGGACCAGGCGAGAAAATAACAATAATAATGAACAGCTATATACCAGAGTCATTTTATGGGGTGGAGGGGGGAATGGGATCAAAAACAGTGGGGGGATGGAAATGCACTGGACTATGGTGATGGCACAAGGGTAATTTGGTGATGGGAAACCCACGGGAATTACAACTGAGATGGAAAAATGCACAAAACGATGCAAAAATAAACTATTATATTATTTATTAAATAATAAAAAAAAAGAAAACGGGGGAGCTGCCAAAGCTAGATAGAGAATTTGGTTCTTTTTCTGAAAATTAACGTGCTCTTCACTTTTTTCATAGATTCAAAGTCGAAGGAAAAAGATACTGGATGTGTATGCCAATGTGTGCGGAGTTGTTGAAGGTAAGCATGAAAGAGCTGTTGTGGGGTGCACTTACCAAAGGTCTTCCCGAGGACCTTCTCCATTGTCAACAGGAGGCCCTAACAGGGGTCCATGGAAACTTACCTTGTTCTTTAACTGAATGGCCAGTTCTGATCTCAGGTGTGGAGGGACTTACAAGCTGATCCTTTTGCTGTGGGGGAAAGCACACATATCCTCAGCACTTCCCCTGACTCCTCAAGCAGGACAAGGAGCCCACATCCAGCCCCAGAATAGCATCTCACAGGGGCTCCTGGAGTCAGGACCACCTAGTGCTCTAGAGAACAGGAGCCCCATGAGTCCTGCAGGGCCCCCCCAGAGGCCATCTCTACCTTGGCATAGTCATCTTCTAAATCTTTGCAAAGCAGTCACTTTCCCAATAATTAGCAGTCCTTCCATTCTCCTAGCCATTTACAACATAAACAGGTGTGGGCTTCCTCCCTCCTTCTGCAAAGATGTCTTCCAAGCAATTAGTTTATTTCCCTATGGTATGATGACAGTATGGGTGTGGGCAGGGAGAGGCAGCAGTGCCAGGAATATTAACATTTTCATCTGAAACCATGGTCCACGCTTCCAATTTCTTCCAAGTCCTTAAATCACCTATATATTCATGCTGGAGATAAAAACCCTCATCACTGAACTTAGGGAACATTCCCTGATTCTCCAGGGCACTCAATCTGGTCTCCCTGGCCAGGGCAGCAGATGTGAAGCCACCCTTCTCTGTGCACAGCACACTGAGTCAGGGCAAGCCTGCTGATTGGGTGCCCCAGCCCTCTCCACTGTCTCTTTAGCCTGGAATAAGGTGGCATCTCTTCATATACCCTGTGCCAATGTACCTAACAGAGAACGCTGCTGCAGGGCCATTGGCCATCACTGGGGCATGGTCTGAGGTTTTCAATCCATCATGTAGAATGCTCTTTCTCTGTTACAAAGGGTCTCTTACTTTAAGAGTCCATAGCTGGGATGGTGGTTTTCAAATAACGTTAGCAACCCAACAGGAACTAGGAGCTCCTTAGGGGAGATCAACATAGATTCACATTCTCATTCACATATAATAGACAATATAGGAAGATCCTTCTACCTTTCACCCAGCTTCTCCCACTGGGAAGCTCTTGCCAACCCATTCCTGAAAGTCACCAGCAAGACACTGATACATCTCATTTCTACACTCCCAAAGCCCCCCCACCCCAGTTGCCCTTTCATGGCCACACTCACTTTCCACCCACCCATCAACCCTCTCTTTAATCCCCAGAAACTACAAATCTGCCCTTCATTTCTGTAATTTTGTCATTTCAAGAACGTTGCATATATGGATTCATGGACCATGTGACCTCTTGCAAATAGATTTTTTCCCCCTGCATAATTCACTGGAGATTCATGTAGATAGTTGCATGTATTAGAATCTGCTCCTTTTAAATCACGTACCACCATCTGTTGATTATTCATCCATTTAAGAACATACAGGTTGTTTCTAGTTTGGGGCTACCACAAATAAAGCTGTTATCCATGTATATGTTTTGTTTGTTTGTTTTTAAAAGAAAGATGAGAACTAGTCACCATTCAGATGGCTAGTTTTCACTATTTCCTCTTTGGGTTTTTTTTTTTTAAGATTTATTTATGCATACAGAACTGGGGTACAAGCCAGAGGAACAGGGGCAGCAAGAGGATTCACCAGAGACAGTGGGGAACAAAACAGGCAGATCGATGATGTACACTGCTGAGGGGAGCAGTGAGTGTGTAAGGAGAGGTCTTCCATGCCATGTGGATCACCTCAGGGGCCGAGATCAAACTCCGGGATTGAACTCACACTGACGTGGCTGCAGCTAGCTTGCAGTGCTGTGTCCTCACCCATTGTGCCACCAGGGAGGCCATGTATATGTTTTTATGTCAACATAAGTCATTGTGTTTATGGAATAAATGTCCCAGTACAATTGCGGGCTGTATGATAGTTGCCTATTTAATGTTTGTAAACGTTGCCATGCTGTTTCAGTTACATGCTGAATGTAAGTGGTTGTACCATTTACATTCCCAATACCATGTTCTAGTTTCTCCACATCCTCACCAGCACTCAGTGGTGGTGTTTATTAATCAGTCATTCTGATTTATGTGCTTTGATATCTGCTTATAGTTTCTATTTGTATTTCCCAAATATCTAATACTCCCTTGAATTCTTTCTCTGGTTGCTTTTAGTATGATTTCCTTTTCACTAGATCTATCAGTTTGTAATAATATTTTTAAAGTTATGTCTGTTTATTATTTTGTTTGTGATTTTTGGATCAGGATATTTGGATTCTTTCCCAGATTAGGGAGATTCTCAACTACAATTTTTTTAAATAATATTTTGAAGGCTTTCACTCATGTCTCCTTCTGGGATCCCCGTGATATAGATTTTGTTTCTCCTCAAGTTGTCCTGAAGAGTTCTTACACTATTTTCATTCTTTTCTCTTTGCTGGTATTTGTGTCTTTTCCACTAACATGCATTCAGTTTTGCTGACTCTGTCAGTAACTTGTTTACCTGGTATTGAGGCCCTCAATATTTTTATGTTTCAGTTTGGTTATGGTGTGCATTAATTGTATTAATTCAGTTAGAAACATTCTCATAGTTTTTCTATCCTTATATTTCTGGTTTTGCTCATCCATTGTTTTTCTTCTGTCAACAAGCATAGTTATTATTGTTACCTTGACCTCCTCTTCAAGCAAGTTACACAGTTCTGCTGGGTTGAGACTTCTCTCAGGGTTTTTAGAGTCCATAATTTGTAGTTTATTCCTCTGATTTTTCCTTTCTAGTTTTTATAGATTGAGATAAGGAGCTTTCTTTCCTTGTTTTGGCCAGTTTTACAGGTTTCAGGATATAATGGTAGGCCCTCAGGGGTCTACAGACTGCTGCTGCTATGCCTGTTTAAACTCCTATAGCCCTAGTTCTGAAATGAATAGAAGGTAGGACTCAGGGACAGCAAAGTAATAGGAGGTTTCTGCTAGTGATTATCTAAAGTTCAAGCTTTTTAAAGTACCTCAGTTGCCTAAATTGGGGGTGTATGTATGGGAGAGGAGTTTTGATGAGAGATCTATTATGACCCCTCACATAGGTCAGTTCCTCAATCAAAGCATCTCAAATAATCTAGCATCCACTGTGTTTTAGCTCTGGTGTGAGGGTTCTGAGAATAGCAGTTTTGTTTTGCTTTTACCTATGTGTGCAACAGCAGCAGGTTAAACTGGGAGTTGCTAATTCCCAATGTGGATGTGCTACTGTTCCAATTCTGATTCAGTTGAGTGAGTAGTGTGTATCCATCGAGGTTTACACATGCCTTCCACAAAAGACTATCTCCCCTGTAGACTCCTCTTAATACTCTCTTAATACCAGGAGGGACTGTGGTTGGGATAGAGCCTTAGACAGATACTGCACTTGGATGCTTGTGCCTGTTTCCAAGTATATTAAGCTCTGTATTTAACTTCAGCTCTGTGTGGGAGTGAGGCAGGTGTTTTGTGTAACAACTGCCAGCTACAGAAGAGACATCCCTTTGGATGGAGTTATAGGTGAGCCAATCTCACCTTTCTCACCAATTCAGATTCCAGCTACTCACATCTGGAGTGCCTGTTATCTTGTTGATATCTGTAGGATCTGTGGTGATAGTCTCTGCTTTGTTCCAATATTCTTTATTTATGTATTTTTGTTTTCCCTTGTCCATCTTTAGATTTGTCCATTTTATTAATCTTTTCAAAGAGCTGGTTCTTTTTACCTTTTCCTCTGTTATTTTTCTCTTTTCAATGTCATTAATTATTGATTTTTTCTTTATTATATACTTCCTTCTATTTACTTTGGGTTTATTTTGATAATTTCTAGAAACTTGAAATGAAAACTTAGATTATTTACTTGAGACTTTCCCTCTTACAGTTGTGTTCTACAAATTTAGATACATTTTAATTTTCATTCATTAATAAAAATACTCGGGGGCTCTCCCTGGTGGCGCAGGGGGTTAAAGCACAGCACTAAGAAGCTAAAGCCACTTCCTCATGAGTTCGATCCCGCCTGCCC